CAGAATTAGTTATATATCTTAATTAAGAAAGTTAGTAATACCATTCTTAAGTTATAACAAAAAAAACTTTAAAATTCAATTAAATAATCTAATATATCTCTAATGTATACATATTAGAAATATATCTAATTGAAACTTATTTAAATTTGTTATCTGCAATAATGTAATAATAGTAACTATCACTATCAATAAGCATTTGATAATTAATTTACATAATAATGAATATAACTATTACTGCTATTCTTATCTCTATTTACTTTTTCTTTGCTAACTGGTTTTACATTTTAATAAATCTTGAACTGGCAAATGAGCGACAACACCAAGTACAGTTAGAATTGGCAAGTTAACAGTAATTGCATCACAACTACAAAGTGCTACTTTCATATCAGTTTCCTCTATTTTTGAAATAATAATTTTCTTAATGGCTTCTCAAACAAAATTACTCAAAACATTCTATATTCTTTTAATACGATGAAGAGCAGGCTGTTCTGTTGCTTCAAGAAATTGAGAAAGTATCTCACACCATATATCCTCAGAAATAAAGTCTAGAAGTTGGGTATCAGTAAGAGCAATATTACTATAATTTAATAGTTAATATTAATGATTGCTTAGTTTTTAATTTTTAATTTAGTATTTACTACTAGTGGTGATACCACCACTTTTTATACATTGTTTTATCAAAATTTAGAGCTAGAATGCAATTTTAGACCAAGGTTAAAGTTAGATATGAAGGTCCAAATCTTAGTTAGGTTAGATTTTTAGGGTTCTGACCATTTTTACTTAATACTCTTAACATAAGTTAGCTAGTAAATTGTTGAGATATAGTATTTCTAGTGATATTACCACTGGTGGTAAATAGCAACATTTATTATTTTTTTTATTTTTAAAACTTACCCAAATTGATTCAAACATTCATCAGCTCTCTTTCAAAGCTTTACAAGAAGGTGATAACGATAATTATCAAAGCAACTACCAACCTTCTTAATTAATGCTAGCATCTGCTTGTTAACTTTAGAGATATCACATATAGCAGATGCTAATTCAGTATACAATGCAGGAGTATTATTCCTTGTTCTTAAAAATAATGCTTTTGCTTCAAGTTCTAAGTTTGCTATTATTGTCTATTTAAATTTATAATTATTGTCTGAAGTGTAGCAACAGACACTTAATTTCTATGCATTAAGTGATACAAAAGTTACATTTTTGATGCGTTTCAACCATCAAACATTTCTTTTTGATGCATTAATGTAATTATTATAATTAACATATCAATAATGTAACTTCGAAATTTTTTGTCTGTCTCGCTACGTAACATGTGATTATAAAACTATTTTGAAAACAACAATTGATTACCAGTACAGTCAGAGATATTACCAAATATAGTAATGCTCCAGACTTATATCAGTTCCTGATTCCTAGTATAGTTAATATTAAATAAATTAATAAATAAAATATTGTAAAAAAAATAGCAAATATATTCCTGATCTGGCACTAAAGTAATTAATGATATTCTATCACTCAACGAAAACTTTAATTTTGGTGAAGATTTTTAAGAATTTTCTAAAGTTCGTAACATTGCATTGTACATCTCAAATGCTAAATCAAGTACACATAGATGTTTTGCTAACCAAACAGCAGCTTCAAATTCACTTGAAATTCCTTGAAGTTCATCTGGTTTTTGTGAAATTT